AGTAGAATATTCCACTGTAGTGCCGCCGCCACTGTGGGCTAAGCCCCGAATGTTTTCAGGTCCAGGCGACGCCCCTGCTTAAGACAACATTGTGTTTTTTGGCGAGGGATGCGTTGCCATGGAAACGGCATATGATGACATCCCATAATTGGCGTAGAGCTGTTGAGGGCCGGACCATTAGCCATCATCTGATGTCTGGTGCCGTTTGGACGTTTTTCCAGTGAGTTAGGACAACACAGTGTTTCATGGCGAGGGATCTGTCGCCATGGCTACGGCATATGATGACATCCCATAATTGGCGTAGACCTGTTGAGGGCCGGATCATTAGCCATCATATGAAGTCTGGTGCAGTTTGGATCATTTTCCATTGACTTAAGATAACACTGTGTTTCATGGCGAGGGATACGTTGCCATGGAAACGGCATACGGTGAGATCTCAGATTTCTCGTAGAGCTGTTGAGGGCCAGACCATTAGCCATCATCTGAAGTCTGGTGCAGTTTGGAACCTTTTCCATTGAGTTAAGACAACATTGTGTTTTTTGGCGAGGGATGCGTTGCCATGGAAACGGCATATGATGACATCCCATAATTGACGTAGAGCTGTTGAGGGCCGGACCATCAGGCATCATCTGAAGTTTGGTGCCATTTGGATGATTTTCATAGGAGTAACGGAAACATCGTTTTTTTTTGGCGAGGGATGCGTTGCCATGGAAACGGCATATGGTGAGATCTCAGATTTCACGCAGAGCTGTTGAGGCATGGACTGGTGATATAAAAGTGAAGATTGGGGGACGATGGGACTGTGCCCATTGGATTTACAGCGACACCGTGTTTAATGGCGAGGGATGCGTTGCCATGGAAACGGCATATGATGACATCCCAGAATTGGCGTAGAGTTGTTGAGGGCCGGACCATTAACTGTCATCTGAAGTCTGGTGCAGTTTGGAACCTTTTCCATTGACTTAAGACAACATTGTGTTTTTTGGCGAGGGATGCGTTGCCATGGATACGGCATATGATGACATCCCATAATTGGCGTAGAGCTGTTGAGGGCCAGACCATTAGCCATCATCTGAAGTCTGGTACAGTTTGGATTATTTTCCATTGACTTAAGACAACATTGTATTTTAACGGCGAGGGATGCGTTGCCATGGAAACGGCATACGGTGAGATCTCAGATTTCACGCAGAGCTGTTGAGGCATGGACTGGTGATATAAAAGTGAAGATTGGGGGACGATGGGACTGTGCCCATTGGATTTACAGCGACACCGTGTTTAATGGCGAGGGATGCGTTGCCATGGAAACGGCATATGATGACATCCCAGAATTGGCGTAGAGTTGTTGAGGGCCGGACCATTAACTGTCATCTGAAGTCTGGTGCAGTTTGGAACCTTTTCCATTGATTTAAGACAACATTGTGTTTTATGGCGAAGGATGCGTTGCCATGGAAACGGCATATGATGACATCCCAGAATTGGCGTAGAGTTGTTGAGGGCCGGACCATTAACTGTCATCTGAAGTCTGGTGCAGTTTGGAACCTTTTCCATTGACTTAAGACAACATTGTGTTTTTTGGCGAGGGATGCGTTGCCATGGATACGGCATATGATGACATCCCATAATTGGCGTAGAGCTGTTGAGGGCCAGACCATTAGCCATCATCTGAAGTCTGGTACAGTTTGGATTATTTTCCATTGACTTAAGACAACATTGTATTTTAACGGCGAGGGATGCGTTGCCATGGAAACGGCATACGGTGAGATCTCAGATTTCACGTAGAGCTGTTGAGGCATGGACCGGTGATATAAAGTGAAGATTGGTGGACGATGGGACCGTGTCCATTGGAGTTACAGCGACACCGTGTTTTAATGGCGAGGGATTCGTTGCCATGGTAACGCCATATTAAGTAACATAAAATTTGACGTAGAGCTGTTCAGGGCCGCAGTGTTAACCATCATGTGAAGTTTGGTGGCGTTGTGAGCATGTCAGTTGGAGTTATGACATCATCGTGTTCCATGGCGTTTGATGGGCCTAGCATCGAGCGAACGCGAACTTTGGCGCCAAATCACGGCTGTGCCGTGCGAAAGAAACAAACTTCTGTGATAACTTTGAATTGCCCATGTCTGGAGATGCTACCCGACGAATTTCGAGTCGTACGGATAAAGTCCCTGGGAGAAGATAGATTTTGCGCGGAGGACGAGAAACGCGATAAATTGCGTTTTTTCGACGCCAAATTCAAAATGGCCGACTTCCTGTACGTTATTTTTTACCCCTCCAAGAGGCTTTTTTGTTCGTCTCCGCACCCTAGATATGTGTAGCGAGATTCGTTCGTTTACGTGAAAGTTAAAGTGGGGGGAGTTTACGTTAAAAACGGAAGTGGGCGTGGCCTACGCAATTTTTTACGCAAAGTTCCGGAACCAATTACATATCGCAAGTTGCACCACTTCTGACGCGCGTGCAACATTTGGTGAGTTTTCACATGTGTTGCGGGGGTCAAAGGTTTATCGGTCGCTGCGCGACCGATTTCAATAGGGTCTTCGCCGACCTAGGTCTCAGACCCTAATAAAAACAATTAACAGTCACTATTCATAAAATACAGTATATCCGAAAAATATATTGATGAAGTTCTTCTAATGCATTCCACTCACTCTCATCCATTATTAGCTCCAAGGCTCTCTGAGCAGAATATATTTTGGCCATTTTGCTGGTAGATAATTGTAGTTCTGCACTATACACTGTAATGTGAGGTTATGTCTCTGTTTAGTCCCTCCTCCGGCGTGCAGGTGCGAGGGGGACAGTGCGAGAAAATGTAAAATGTTTATACATTTCTGGAAGATCTAAAATGTTTATAATGTTCTAGGATAGTTTTGTGTACACACTACAAAGGGTAAAGATCAAGGGAAAACAGGATCAAACAGCTTCTGTCTGTGTGTGTGTGTGTGTGTGTGTGTGTGTGTGTGTGTGTGTGTGTGTGTGTGTGTGTGTGTGTGTGTTGTGTGTGTGTGTGTGTGTGTGTGTGTGTGTGTGTGTGTGTGTGTGTGTGTGTGTGTGTGTGTGTGTGTGTGTGTGTGTGTGTGTGTGTGTCTTTAGTTTGTGTATTTCTGTGTGTTTTTCTCTGTCTGTCTGTCCTGGTATTGTATCCGGGTCAGATTGACCCAAACCTCTTATGAAGGACTTAAATGCGGGTGGGCATTTTTTCATAAGTGGAAGAAATAAAAACAATTCCACATGTCCTTCACAATAAATAAGCCCCGGCCATTGAGTTTCAGGTTGAACGAAAATATCCTTATATTTTTTTTTATTCATTGAAAATGGAAATCGGGTCAATTTGACCCGAACACCAAACAAGGGTTAACCCTTGTGTTATGTTAACATTTCGCACCCTTTGGTAATGTTCGGGTCAAATTGACCCGGGACATGTTTCAAGGTTTAAAGAAAATACAGAACAAAATTCAACATGCACAATTCCTTATATATATTGTCTTTAACTCATTCCCCAACAATATAAATGAAATATATGATTCGTTTTTGAAAATACTCTTTGCTAGATCAAATTTAACAATGGAAGTGTCCATCGTTTTTTGTGCTAAAAATTTAATTTATGTTAAAAAAATATACACTGTAATAAAAACTAGGTTTACATTTTGCTCATGCTTTTCTAGGACAAATGTAAATGAAACATTTTTTCATTAATGTTTATTATTTTTAATCTGTCATATAATAATCAAAGCCCTGAAGGAAATAAAGCAATTTAACAGCAATTGAAACACAAGAACCACACATCCAAAAGTATTTGGCTGTGAATTATATAGAGATGATGAAACATCCATATAAATGACATACAGATATAGATATAAACACAAAGCAAATAAAAACAATTAACAGTCACTATTCATAAAATACAGTATATCCGAAAAATATATTGATGAAGTTCTTCTAATGCTTCCACTCACTCTCATCCATTATTAGCTCCAAGGCTCTCTGAGCAGAATATCTTTTGGCCATTTTGCTGGTAGATAATTGTAGTTCTGCACTATACACTGTAATGTGAGGTTATGTCTCTGTTTAGTCCCTCCTCCGGCGTGCAGTTGCGAGGGGGACAGTGCGAGAAAATGTAAAATGTTTATACATTTCTGGAAGATCTAAAATGTTTATAATGTTCTAGGATAGTTTTGTGTACACACTACAAAGGGTAAAGATCAAGGGAAAACAGGATCAAACAGCTTCTGTCTGTGTGTGTGTGTGTGTGTGTGTGTGTGTGTGTGTGTGTGTGTGTGTGTGTGTGTGCACGTGTGTGTGTGTGTGTGGTGTGTGTGTGTGTGTGTTGTGTGTGTGTGTGTGTGTGTCTGTGTGTGTGTGTGTGTGTGTGTGTGTGTGTGTGTGTGTGTGTGTGTGTGTGTGTGTGTGTGTGTGTGTGTGTGTTTTTAGTTTGTGTATTTCTGTGTGTTTTTCTCTGTCTGTCTGTCCTGGTATTGTATCCGGGTCAGATTGACCCGAACCTCTTATGAAGGACATAAATGCGGGTGGGCATTTTTTCATAAGTGGAAAAAAATAAAAACAATTCCACATGTCCTTCACAATAAATAAGCCCCGGCCATTGAGTTTCAGGTTGAACGAAAATATCCTTATATTTTTTTTTATTCATTGAAAATGGAAATCGGGTCAATTTGACCCGAACACCAAACATATTTAATCAGTGTGTCCTTAGATGACTACTGGAACCTTGATCTGCTGACTAGAACTGGGTTCATGTGCCTGGGAGTATACTACATGGTATTAAGTGATTGGATGCTGATCATGATTATTGATCGACTTTGGGGGAAGATATCATACAAATAGCTCAGCTTTAAGGGCTATTATCTACAGACACTTCTTCAAGTAACTTCGACTCAGAGTTATTTTGTTGGGACAAACCCTCTATTCTCACCGGGAATCAGGGTAAGCATTTCAATTCTCATTCCTACTATTTTATTTTAAAATATTGTATGTTTCAAACAGAAGAAGTATTCGGCTCCTTTACTTAGGTAAAAGTACTAATACTGCAATGTAAATTACTCCATTGCAAGGAAAATACTGCATTGAGAATGGTACTTAAAGGGGACCTATCATGCAAAATGCACTTTTGTACATATTTTATACATGAATATGTGTCCCCGGTGTTCCAGGGAACTCACCAAGTGTCAGAAAACACAACCCTCTCTATTTTCCTCCATACCCAAATCTCTAAAAAAGGGGCTGCAACGGATCTGATGAAAACTGATCCAGATTTGAACACTGTCCTGACGTCAGGACGGTGGCGCTACGGCTATTGGGCCAACTCCACCAATCAGGAGGAGACAGCCACGGCCATTGCCATTCGAAAGCGCTGGAGACGCTGTAGTACATATGCCAGGCCTGTAGATGGTACTGTTCTCACAGAATCTGCCCTTGCAAAAACAGAGCTAAAAAAGGTCAAATTGAGCAAAATGAGGCATGGCTAAAATGCATGATCTGTTTGGTATTTTGAAAAAAAAAAAGTATAAATATGCCTTATATAAGTATGGTCCTATACTATATTATTCAAATATAGCATGATAGGTCCACTTTAAGTAAACGTTTTTAAGTATGATATATATATAAAAAAAAACTCAAAATCCAAAAAGAATTCACATTTGAAAAGCTAGAACTGAAAAATACTTACACCCAAAAATGTATTAAACAATTAGTAAAAGTAAAAACAGAAATTCTGGTTAATAATCTGGGGAGATTTACTCCTGGGATCAAACCGGAGGTCACAAGTCTTGGTGTCGAGAGCTTCAGCTCTCACATTAGCAATGTAACAAAAATATTTTTTTTCTTAGAAACATTGCTAAAGAAAAAAACATTCATAAATCAAAAAGATGTTGAGAAACGTATACTTGCCTACGTCTCAAACTGGATAGACTTCTGAAATGCACTTTTCAGTGACCTCCCGTAAAAAACGACTGACAGACTTCAGCTCATCCAAAACTCTGCAGCTCTGCGGATAACCAGAACTAAGAAGAGAGAACACATTAGTCCAGTTTTAGCTGCTCTTTACTGGCTTCCTGTTTACTTTAGTATTGATTTGAAGGTCCTCCTCCTGACATATACTGTAAGGCCCTAATGGGCAAGGACCTAGCTATATTGCTAACTCCTTTGTCAGCCACAAGCCGTCAAGAACACTGCATTCCTCTGCTGCTGGTTTGTTAGAGGTTCCCAGAAACAGCCGCAAAAAGGACGTTTGGTGATGCAGCTTTCGTTAATTATGCCCCAAAGCTATGGAACAAAATACCTAGAGACATCAGGGATGCCTGCTCAGTGGAAGTCTTTGAAAATAAAAATACAATTTAGCCTTTTAGGAAGCAAACTCCTGCTCTCTGCTGCACTTTCTCAATTCACTCTGATGCATTTTGACCTGTCACCTGATTGTGTGTTGCACTATCCTCCTTTTAAAGGGGACCTATCATGCAAAATGCACTTTTTTATGTCTTTCATACATAAATATGTGTCCCCGGTGTGTCAGGGATGTTTTGTATCTTACAGACAGGTTACGAAAAATCATTTATTTCAATACACTTAGATCTGATTTTCATTTCTTAAATGATGCCTTTCAGAAATAACAAATGTGTTTTATGTTAAATATATTATTTTAATGACTATCCTAGGTCTCATCCAGAATGATGAAACTCAGTGTTTTCCTTCTCATGCTCCTCATGGAGACGTGCTCTGCCTCCACTTATCGTGAGTATGAATCGTTTATATAACACGTTTTCCCTATAAAACATAACAGGGAAGTGAACGTAAGGCTGTCCATTAGCAAGAAAAGCAGGTTTATACAAATTAAGTTTAATTGTCTAGATCAGTGGTTCCCAACCTTTTTGGTCTCGTTTACCCCTTGAGCTGGTCTCCATTCTAGAAGAGCCCCCACTCATCTGTGATGATGCACATACATTGTTTCTTGTTAAACCCTTTTCTAATCGTATTTAACCAAACTGCTCCCTAGTTGATAAGTCACCCTTAATACAAATGCATTTAATCTTGACCTTTACACTTATTCTAGCAGTTTCAACATCTTTTGTTAAGACTAGAGCTTTTAAAGAGAGACTCGACCTTGCTTATCTTTCGTAAACTTTGACAACCCCTGGTTGGGAACCACTGGTCTAGATTATAGCTTTAGCTCCAAAAAAAAGAGTTATGTAATGCATAAAATATTGTAATCTCACTGCTCACATTAGATACTGTATGTTTTGCTGCTCCAATAACTAGTTATTGTTATTGTGGTAATACTGTTTAAATGTAACTGTGAACACATCGCCATGTAAGAAATCCCAGCAAAGCGACACAAACAAATACAGAAAACACATTCAATCTCCAATTCATCAGCACGTGTTCAGCGTTTGGAAATAAAACACTGCATAGACATTAAAACACTTATAAACATCTTTATCAGGTTGGCAACACGTGCATGCTGAGGCAACATGCTGCAAATTCAGAAAGCGTAACCCAACTCACAATGGAATAGTTTTTAATGATCACTGTTCACAGGTCTAACATCAAGTCATCATTTACTTTCTGAGAAACGTGCAGCATGTCTCTGTTTGTAATTTGTGTTTTTTCTATTTTCTGTTTTCTTTAGTTGTTGTGCGTTGAATATTCAGGACCAGTTATCTGTTGGAATACTAATGTAGCCTAAACCATTTTCCAATGTATGTATTATAATTATATATCGAACTGTCTCTTTTCTAGAAAACGTGGCGTTGCGTGGAAAAGCGACCCAATCAAACCGTTTTGAGCACGCTTTTGGATCTGCCATCAGCGCTATTGATGGAAACCGTGACAATAAGTTCCATTCTGGATCGTGCAGCCACACTGATGCAGAAAGCAACCCCTGGTGGAGAGTGGACCTGCTGGAGCCCTACATCGTCACCTCCGTCATCATCTCCAACAGAGGAGACTGCTGTTCAGACAGGCTTCAGGGGGCACAGGTCCACATCGGCAACTCTTTAGTCAACAATGGTGCATCAAACGGAGTGTAAGACATTTCCTGCACACATTTTATTCATTTGTTTTGTGTAACTGTCTGAGCATTTTGTTTATCTGCTCCTCTCCCCTGTTAATTGCGCACCACCAGTAGACAGAGGTGTATTAAGATTTCTTTACTTGAGTAAAAGTACAGATACCCTAGTTTCAAAATATTTAATTACAAGGAAAAGTCCTGCATTCAAAATGTTTCTTAAGTAAAAGTACAAAAGTATTATCAGCAAAATGTACTTAATGATTAAATGTACATATGTATGTGACATTTCTAGATATATTCATGCATTAAGAAGCATTTTACAAGTTTAATTGTATTTATATGATTTGACTGTTTTGTGACTTAAAGAGTTCGTCCCCTAGTTTAATTGTTAGAGATACATTTAGGTAAAAGTAGCTAAAGCTGTTTAATGAATGTACTGGAATAAAATTACATTATTTCCGTATTTAAATGTAGAGGAATAGGAGTAGAAAGTAGAATGAAATGGAAATACTCAAGTTAAGTACAAGTACCTCAAAACTGTAAATGTACTACCCACCTCTGCCAGTAGATTCTCATAGAAACTGTTCCTAAATGTTTCAACCATGTCATTTTACTTATTTGCTTATCAGAAATATAGGCAATGCTGAAGTGCGTTAAACTTCCATCGTCTTTCATATCTCGCAGTGGGTGCCCCCCTGATTGCAAAAAGGAGTCAGATTGTATAGAAGTCTATGAGGAAATTACCAGTTACCTTTTATCTAACTGTTGAAGCCTTAGGGGTATAACATGTCATTCATGTTCTTCTTTCTTTCTCACTTTTGTTCTCTTTTTTTTAGGGTTGGTACAATTTCTAGAGTAGAGGCATTGACCACTATGACTTTCACTAATCGTGTGGAGGGACGCTATGTGTCTGTGCGTATACCGGGTAATGGAAAGATCCTTACCCTCTGTGAGGTGGAAGTCTACGGGTACCATGTCCGAACTGGTGAGGGTTTGGGATCTTACATAAATAATGTGTGATTTCCATCTAAACAAGGAACTGTCATAAAAGCCAAGCGGCTGAAAAGTTAACTCAATGCAGAAGTGCCTTAAACCTGCATTCTATCTAAAAGTCTGATTGTTTAGAAGTCTATGAAAAATGTTCCTGCAACTCACTTAATTTATTACTGCTGGAAAGAGTGTACCCATTAGTTTATGATCTCAATTGTTTGTTTCAAGTCTTCTTCAATCCAGCATGATGTTCAAGTTGTAAAATATGGTCCCATTAATAGGAAAAAGAGAAAGGATGTACCAGCCTTTCATGTCACTTATGATTACTAAAACAGGTCTTATTTTGTATAAAGTTTAATTTGCCAAAACTGAATGACACATTTAGTTAGTTAGTTACTTAGTGCAGTTGTAGTTATATATAACTTTAACTATAGACACAATATATTATAGACTACAGCATAATATTACTTTAATTCCTATTTTCCAATAACAAATAACTATATGGTAGTTATTTGTTTATATATGGTGCGGTTATCCCTTTTATGTCCTTCATCCTGATGGCAAATTAAATTAAATCTTTTGAGAGTCATTGTGAAACAGTATAATAAAAAACAATCTGCATCAGGAGTCATACATGTTATTGAATTAACCTAAATCTTTGTTTTGTTTTTTTGTTGCAGAAGAGAACCTGGCCATTGAAGGAAAAGCCACACAGTCATCAGTGTATGGGTCTCACGATGCATATAAGGCCATTGATGGGAATCGGGCCAGCAAGTGGGCTAAGGGTTCCTGCACTCACACAGACAATGAATTGAACCCCTGGTGGAGGCTGGCTCTGCCCAAAACACACAAAGTGTTTTCTGTTAAGATAACCAACCGATATCAATTCCCCCAACGACTCAATGGAGCCGAGATCCGCATTGGAGATTCTCTTGGAAACAATGGTGCTGACAATCCCAGGTAAGTTAGAGCCTGTCCTATAACAATACTAATATTAAAAAGTCACTAAATTGGTATTTTGTTGGAACACGTTTGAGGAACAATTATTCAGTTTTTCTCTCTCAAGTTTACCTGGTGCTACATTTTGGATTAACAATCCTTACATTGCCAAGAAAAAGGATTGGAGCGGGAATACCCTTCATTTATGAATGATTCCTGCAATGTGTTATGATCTGATCACAGAAATGGACAAATACCAAGGTCGACAAATGAAAGGCCTGATCGAGGGTCGTCAATTGTGATTATGTGACATGATTTGAAAACAATTATTTAAACATTACTGAAATATAAATATTGTTCATTATCAAGCCCTAATTAAAAGATCTGCAACCAACATTCTAACCAAGTAAAGCGTAGAAACCTAATGATGCTTTGAGTGCATGTTGAACTTAAAATGAAAAGCCTATTACTTCAATAAACCCTTCCTGAGGTTAATGTAGTGATTTCTGCTTCTTCTACCAGGTTTGCTGTAATCGCCAGCATCCCTTCAGGTCATACTGTTGAGTTCAAGGTTCCCAACGGGATGGACGGCCGCTATGTTTACATAGGTGTCCCTGGAAGACATGAGTGGCTGACCCTCTGTGAGGTGGAGGTGTTTGGCTCTGCACTGGATTAGCATTCACTGTAATGGATTTGCAAAGATGCTGTAATGTGTACACAAAGCATCCAAAATAAAATCTGCATCTTACATTTAATTGTTTGCATGACGTCAAGATTTACTGGTGGATATTGCAACAAAAGTCTGCCTTGACTTTTGCTTTTACACGGGACTTGTACACCTTCTGCGAATGTGCTTGTCTTATGTCATAAGAAAACAACTGATCTTTTTTGTTTCTATCAATCATTTAAGAACAGTGAAAGCAATGGTTCTGAAGGCAAGTTTTTTATTTATTTAAATACAGATAAAATAGACAAATATTATAAAACACATCTGAAAGCTTTCCAACCCAAAGTTAGATCAGAAGATCAATCCCCATCATGTATGTAAGAGTGGTATCTTGATAACTGAAGGGCCACAGACAATATTAAAGTTCAAACAACTAATGTATGTCTGGAGGCCCAAACAAAGACCAGTTTCCTCTGTATGCCTGAGCCGTTTATGTGTTTTTCTGTAGAAAGCATTAATAACAAGACTTCCTTTGGCAAAAAATACAATAAGAAAGAAAGATAACCTTTTTAAGGCCGTACAGTTGTATTTTTTTTGTTCTGACAGGGCACAGTTAGAGGCAGTCTACTTGTTTTGCCATAAAAAACACAACTCTTTCTGTCATTTTATAACTGGATTAGGAATGAAAGTTGCCTGCTGAAAGCTGAATGATATGCAGTCCATTTTTTATTTAAAAGCTTCCAAACATGGGAACATCATTTTCCAAAGACTCTTTAAACACTGCTGGCCTCTAAAGAAACATTTCAACAACTTTTGCATTAAAATACTTACAAGTTTGCAAAGGGTATTGCTTCACAGTATGTGGACATCAATGATTGGGCCTGCCAGACAAAATGTACTTCTTAAGCCAAAGTCAAAGAAAATAAATTCCTAACATTAAGAAATAATACTGATGTATGAACAGCATGTCTTTGAAAACACCGTTTCCGAAAGTAAAGATTCTATATGACAGAACCAAGGGAACAATAAAAAGCTAGGAAACCTTTTGGCGTAATAGAAACATTGCTGTATGAAAACAATGCAACAGTAAAGATGGTTGGCAACAGTCCACAGATACTGAGAAGTCAGGGCGAAATGTCCAACCGCTCAGTGAATCAAAGCACCGCAAAGAGGGGGGACCGTTGGGCTTCGAGTAAAAAGCAGCAATGTCAGTGACTGATCAAAACCTAGTGAAAGATCAACAGGTGCTGAACTAGTCCATCTCACGGTGTTATCTGAGATCTTTGGAGACTTTGAGAACTTTGTAGATGTCGTTGGAGAAGACTGTGGTGAAGTGGGGTCGTGAGCTTCTGGACATGTGGGTGCAAAGGGGACCTTTACCAACGTTTTGGGAATCCTCAATGTCCCAGATCTCTGGCATGCTGCACCTGGGCCTGAGCAAAGAGAAAGGAAGACAAGGTTAATGAGAATGATACACTATTTGTCCAGCAATTCAAGTCAAGTCAATATGATTATATATAATATATATACATAACCATGTCCTAAAATGCAGACATGAGTGGTTACCATCAAATACAGAACAGAGGGTGCCATGATTTAACCATACAGAAACACTCTTTTCGGCACCAGTTAAAGAGGCCCTATTATGCTTGTAGGGGTTCCCCTCTTCTGTAGTGTGATATATAGGTTTTTGTGCCACATTAGAGGAGATAGAACTATGAACCTGAACATTTGCATAATAGTTCCTCTTTAGTGCAAAATAAAGTTTAACCCCAGATCAAATGCAATGTAAATACTGTTATATTATATTTTACTATATATTTTGTATTATTCTAAATATTTTTCTAGTTCTCTTCCTCTGTTTTTAATTCTTGTTTTTATGCACCACGACACCAATTCAGATTCCTCATATGTGTAACCTACCTGGTAATAAACCTGTTTCTGAAATATTATCTTCTGTGATTGTAATGTTTGTTGAGTCTCTGAACACTTTCCTTAAATCTTATTCTTTGTTGATGTTGCAGGAAAGATTCCAGACTTTATCTTGCAATACAGTGTTATCATATTATAAAATAAAATATGACAGAAAACAGGTTGAAAAGTCCCCCTTCCTGTGAGAGGGCTCTGGTGGTGTGGAGGTACCTGGTTCTCCGGGGTGCACCAGGAATCCTCCAGGACGAAGAAGTCCACCCCCAGCGTCACCAGGTTCCCCTTCACTGTGTCTGCAGACATGCGGCTGTACATGGAGTACACCAGCTTGGTTCTCTCCCTGCGAGGAGCACAATAAAGCATTGATACGGTGCACAAGTTGGAGAACAACTAAATGCAAAGTAAAGCAGTACAGAGGTGCAAGTCAATTGTGAAGTCACTTTGTTACCAATTAAAGTGCTGCATTTTAAATCGTGCTTCAGTAAAGGTGCAAAAGTAAAATGACTATTTAAGCGTAATGGCCCATTTCTGAATAATATATATATTCAATTACTGTATTAATTTCTGAATGGTCAGTAGATCAATTTGCATCAAATTAAGTCATCATCTGTTTATTTAAAAAATAGCAAAAAATAATAATAGTGAATAACAAACTTTTCACAAAAGATTTGTAGCAATGTGGCGTATCTTTAGTATCCTTTGGTTGAAAGTGTTTTTTCCTTCATCGTTTAACCCTCCTTTGTCTTCGGGTCAAATCTGACCGATTTACTACTTTCATCAATCATAATATTTTTGTTTTACATTCGATTGCATTAAGGCTTCATGATATCCTTCACAGTAGACATTTGAACATATACAATTGCTGATCACCACTTTCATTGAATTTTAGATGATTTAGTCAACTTTGTAACACCCATGGTGTTCCCGGTCACACCTGGCACACACAATACATGTTCAGTGTCTATTCTTTGTATATTTACTAGGGCTGTCAGTCGATTAAAATATTTAATCGCGATTAATCGCACATTTTTTATCTGTTCTAAATGTACCTTAGAGGAATATTTTTCAAGTTTTTAATACTTGTATCAACATATGAGTGGACAAATATGCTTTATGCAAATGTTTGTTTATTATCATTAAACAAGCAATAGCAAGCAGCTATTGTCTGAGATTGCATGATGTAGTATTGTTAGATGTGCCAAGAGCAAGGACTGTCTTAGGTAAGACAGCTTTTATGTGCGCAGCTCCACTTGCTTGGAACAATCTTCAGCAAGAATTGAAACTGAGCAATCTCATTCCTCTGCATGTTTTTAAAGCTAGGCTAAATGAAATGCTCGTTGATACTATGGGTACTTGTAAATGTCTATAACTATGTAAATGTATCCTGTAAATATAATGTATGATGTCCTTTATTGTTTTATGTTTCATGTGGAATCTATATGCTGCAGGTCTCCCTTGAAAAAGAGATCTATGATCTCAATGACACCATAAATAAAGGTTTGAAATTAAATGAAAATCATTGGAACAATGACAAATATTCTCCTGAATCATCTCAACACAACAACCTGGAACCTCTCTCTCTATCTCTCTCTCTCTCTCTCTCTCTCTCTCTCTCTCTCTCTCTCTCTCTCTCTCTCTCTCTCTCTCTCTCTCTCTCTCTCTCTCTCTCTTATACTCTCTCCCAACCCTGTGTACTTCTTTGCACTGAGCCAGTTGCTCAAACAGACAAGCCTGTATACAGTTGTCGGCGAAATGCCGCTCCTCTGTCTTCATAACAGTCAAAGCATGAGACGTTCCCACTGTGGGTCAAAATAATGCACTGTGATGTGCAGTCGACACGTTGGATGCGATCCGAATGATCTAACACAGCCCCTCGTCCTCCACAATGTTAAGCTGTATCCACCCATTTAGCTATCGCTGTTAAAAGCTTGCTGCTCGTAGAAGTGTCCAGGCATCTCCCCGACAAACTTTCAAGCGTGGTCTGCCACAAGCGAGCGGCAGGAGCGGGGATGTCAGCATCAGCTGTGGGTTTGGCTTGCTGTTTAAAACACCTTTTTTTGTATCCATATGTCTCGCTAGAATCTCCCACCATCCAACTAACAACAAGAACAACGTCAAGCCTTTGGACTCTGAAACTACGGGGCGGGCCGAGGACAAATACACATGCGTTAATCGCATGTTAAAATAATTAGTGGCGTTAAAAAAATAAAATTAATAAATAAATTAATAACGCGTTAATAACGCGTTAATAACGCGTTAATAACGCGTTATTAATTTAATTTTTTTGACAGCCCTAATATTTACTGCAGTTTTTCATGTATACCAGTAGTCTGATACAATATGTACAGTTTGAAAGGGTGTTAAATGAAATTTGGTGATGATTAATGGTTTTTGTGTTAATGTAATAGCTGCTAAAACAGGACCGGTCAAATTTGACCGCGAACACCAAAGTAAGGGGGGGGAAATGAAGACAATAGGAGGGTTAAATCAGGGGTGTCCAAACTTTTTTCACCGAGGCCCAAATACAGAAAAATATACGAAGGGCTGGGTCACTCGCTAGACGAGAGGTATATTGCCTAATAAGCTAATTATAAGGCGTGTGGCACAGGTTCAAACCCCACTGCAGTCAGCATGTCGTTGTGTCCCTGGGCAAGACACTTCAGCCCAAATTGCTCCTGTGGAGAATGCCCACAGTAATGAGTATGTAAGTTGCTTTGGATAAAAGCGGATAACAAGTAACATGTAATAAGTCAGCAAAATTAATCAAATGTAGGTCAATTATGCTTGATATTTGAAAATGCCTTAAGAAAAAAACAGCCTACATCACAGCTCCCCTTAGGGTTTCATTTATTTTGTTGGCAGCTCATCCCTCAGTTTGCTTATAATAAGGAGAAATATGAAGGGTGTATTTCAAGCTTGTAAGGTAAATAAGTCATTGGGCCTTTTTTTAATCAACTAAGATATGTTAGAAAATGTTTCCAACTTTAATTGACTGAATTTATTAGAAAAATGGGCTTATTAACACATGAATACTGCTGTGTAATATATTTTACATTTATATTTAAAAAGTACAATATAAG